CAGCCACAGGTAAGCCACCATAGATAGTACTACCAACTGACAGACAGGTGAGGCTGTTAGCAACTTTTAATGTTCTCCTTTTTGCCAGATGCATACATTTCTCAGTGTAGAAGCCCTCTTCTTCCCTGGCTTCCACATGGCTGATTTCTCTTCAGTTCTTGTTGTCTCTGACACCTGTATCAAAAGGAGACTCTTTCCCCCTCATTAGCGTCCATCTCAGTCTTTGGTTTTCTTAATTGTACTAACGTCAGTCTATACGTGATTTATTCATTGTTTATTTATCTTGTCATCTTCCCACTATAGATATAAGCTTCCATGAGGACAGAGACCACATCTGTCTTTTTTGCCATGCTATTCCCAGTTAGCCCTGGTGGCACAGTGGTTAAGTGCTTTGTTGCTTACCAAAGGGTCGACGGTTCAAACTCACCAGCCACTTGCAGGAGAAAGATACAGCAGCCTGCTTCCATAAAGATTACAGTCTTGGAAACCCTATGGGGCAGTCCACCCTGTCCTGTAGGGTTACTAAGTGTCAGAGTTGATTAGATGGCAATGAGTTTGGTTTTTGTTTTATTCCCAGCTCCTAGCACAGGGCTATGTTCAGTGAATATTTGCTTAGTTAATGAGTCTAACCACTCTCTGAGGTCTGACAGGCTGGACCACCTCCTCTTACCCTGCCCCCTTGCTTGATGCCAGTTACACCCTTCCCACTTCCCTCCCCCCTCTTCACACTTACCTCTGTTTCAACACTTATCAAACTATGTTACCAGTTGTCTTCTGTCTCCTCCAACCAAAGATAGTTCTGTGGGAGGGACTTCTCTTGAACGAATGAAGAAATCCAATCCTCTTCTAGGGTCAGACTTCCCAACGCTTCAGCTCACAAATCTCTCCTTTCAGGCTGCTTACTTGAGCTCCACACCACTATCACTGACCTTCTGGTCATCACTGCCTTGATCATCCCAAAGATAACCTCTGTATGCCTCAGTTTCCTTAGTTGTTGTTCTTGTTAGGTGTTGTCGAGTTGTCTCCGACTCATAGCGACACTATGCACAGCAGAACGAAACACCGCCCAGTCCTGAGCCAGCTCCATGATTCTTGCTATACTTGAGCCCATCGCTGCTGCCACCGTGTCAGTCCATCTCGTTGAGGGCCTTCCCCTCTTTTGTCGACCTTCCACCTTACCAAGCATAACATCCTTCTCCAGGGAATGGTCCCTTATGACAACATGACCAAAGTATGTGAGACGAAGTCTGGCTGTTCTCGCCTCCAAGGAGCATTCTGGTTGTACTTCCTCCAGGACAGACCTGTTAGTTCTTTTAACAGTCCATGGTACTTTCAGCATTCTTCGCCAACACCACAGCTCAAAGGCATTGATTCTTCTCTGGTCTTCCTTATTCCTTCCAGCTCTCACATGTATAAGTTTCCTTAGTGTCCCATTTTAAAATGGAGATGGTAAAAATAATTCGTTAAAGGAACAAATGATGCTGGCAAAACTGGATATCCATTTGCAGAAAAATAAAACAAGATCTGTACCTCATACCATACACAGAAACTAACTCCAGATGGATCAAAGACTTAAATGTGGAACTTAAAACTGTAAAGTTCCTCAAGGAAAAACTTGGGGCAGATTTAGGGGCCCTAATATATGACATAAATAGATTATCAAGCATAACCAAAAATGCACAAACAGCAGAAGATAGATGAACGGGACCTTCTAAAAATTAAATTTTTATGTGTTTCCAAAGACTTCTCCAAAAGAGAATCTACAGATTGGGAAAAAATATTCAGCAATAACATATTTGACAAGGGACTCATCTCTAGAATTTATAGAAAACTCCAACACCTCAATAACAAAAAGACAAATAATCCAATTAGAAAATGAGCAGAAGACATGAATAGGCACTTAACCAAAGAAGATATTTAAGCGACCAACAAAAATGTGAAGAAATGCTCATGATCATTAGCCATTAGAGAGATGCAAATCAAAACAACGAGACACCATCTTGCCCTAGCACTAGTAGCAAAGTTCAGCAAGACAGAAAATAACAAATGCTAGTGAGGATGCAGAGAGATTGGGACTCTCATACACTGCTGGTGGGACTATAAAATGATGCAACCACTGTGGAAAGCAGCATGGCAATTCCTTAAAAAGTTCACACTAGAAAAAACCATTTGACCCAGCCATTCTGTTACTAGGTATATATCCTAAAGAAGTGAGAGTAAGGAAAAAAAAAAAAAAAGAAGTGGGAGTAAGGACAAGAACAGATATATGCATACCCATGTTCATTGCAGAACTGTTTACTATAGCAAAAAGATGGAAACAACCTAGATGCCCATCAACAGAGGAATGGGTAATCAAACTGGGGTACATACACACAATGGAATACTATGCAACCATAAAGAGTAACATAGAATCTACAAAACACCGCACAATGTGGATGAACATTATGCTGAGTGAAATAAGTCAAATCACAGAAAGACAAATATTGTATTAGTCTGTTATTGTAAAGTCAAGGAAAGGTTTATATATGGAAGGAAATTTTCTTTCTTGGTTACCAGGGGTGAGAGGGGAGGGGAGGGAACACTGTTAGACAGGTAGAGACAAGTATTGATTTGGGCAGTAATGTACCAAATGTGAGTGATCAACACGGTGGCATTGAGGATGAGGAAGCCATAGAGAGGTGTATGGGAAGTATAGACAATAAAGATGAATGCTTTTGCACATACAGTACTGCGTTGTCAGTGATGGCAAACATTGATATATGGATGGACAGGCTGAACAACCAGGTATGTCTAGGTAGAGGGAGAGTGTGCCCATGATAGGGTTGGCAGACAGTGTTTCTACAAGTGTATTTGTATGTTCTGTAAGAATTTCTAGGTATATAGCAGAGCTGACAAGAAGGTTGTAGTCACTTTCTGGCCACAACCAGCTACTTGTAGGGAACAAGTAGTTGAACCTGTGGGCTTGGGACCATAGTCACAGGGGACATCAAGCTCAATTGGCATAACATACTACACAAAACATTGTTCCACATCCTACTTTGGCGAGTGGCAACTGGGATCTTAAAAGCTTGCAAGTGGCCATCTAGATGCAACAGTGGGTCTCTCCTTGTCCAGAGCAAAGAAGAATGAAGAAAATCAAAGACACCTGGAAATAATTAGTCCACATGACTGGTACACCATGCGATCTTCAGCCTATATGACTATGAGACCAGAAGAACTAGATGGTGCCCAGCTGGCACTGTCAGCCACTTGGAGAGGGGTCTCTGTAGGAGATCCTGGATGGAGTTGGAGAACAATGTGGAACAGAACTCAGAATTGTTAAAAAGGACCAGGTTTACTGGTCTGATAGAACCTGATGGAACCACTGAGACTATGGCCCCTGGTTGCCCTTCAGGTCTGGAATTGAACCCACTCCAAAGACAGGCATATTAGCTGAACACTTACATTAGGTAGATACACTCCTTGGAAAGATCAATCATGGGAGAGTAAAAGGGCTATATATGCACAGGGAGACAGCTTGGGGGGCAGGAGTGCATGGGAGGGAAGGACACAGGGAAGAGGTAACTATGGGGAGGAAGTGGGAAGGGTGCTGTTACATTGTGGGAAGTGCAGTCAATGTTATGAGACAAATTGTATGTGAATTGCTGTATGGAAAGTGAATTTGCTCTGTAAACTTTCACCCAAATCACAATTAAAAAAAATTTTTTTTTAAAAAAGAAAGTAATTCATTAAACGGTTTTTTTGGGCTTGTGGTTCCCCCCCCCCCCCAAAATATAAAACCAAACTTGCTGCCATGGAGTTGACTCCAACTCATAGCAACTCCCATTGAGTTTCCAAGGCAGTAAATCTTTATGGAAGTAGACTGCCCCATCTTCGTTCCACAGAGTGGCTGGTAAGTTTGAACTGCTAATCATCTGGTTAGCATCCAAATGCCACCAGATCCCCTTATAAAATGCGTAGAACAGTAAGGGTTAGCTGTTATTACTTCAACATGCCCTACTGCACCACTCCCTTGCCTTTCACATGTTTCCCTGCCTAGATGCTAATCATCCGGTTAGCATCCAAATGCCACCAGATCCCCTTATAAAATGCATAGAACAGTAAGGGTTAGCTGTTATTACTTCCTCAACATGCCCTACTGCACCACTCCCTTGCCTTTCACATGTTTCCCTGCCTAGAACACTTAAGATGTAAATACAATGCCATTTTTTTTTCTGGCAGGTTCTCACTGTGCCATTGTGACACTGCGGAATGTGGAGATTTGTTACTAATCGTACATAATTAACTATAGTTTGTAAATAATTTACCTTTATTTTTATAAATTAGAATGGGTTCAAGGTTATGCCTTTAGCATGTCACTCTTACTCTGGTATGTTGCTGGGGCGAGGGAGAGGGGCTGTGGAGTTACAGCTGGTCTCTCAGGAATGTCCCATGGCCACCGGCCTATCTGTGGTACAGCCTCCAGTGCATGTTATTGATGTGTCAGGAATACTTGGAGAGTTGACACATCATTCGGGTTCTGCGTCACCTCACCAGATCATTTTTGGTTTAACCAAAATACAACTGTAGTCTGTAGTTCTAGAGGAAGACCTGTCACAGCAGACTGTGCTTTTGTGGGATTTGTCTGCCACCAGATTCATTAGCCGTGTCTCATTAATCTTGGTGTCCCCTTCTTTCTCCTAACCTCACTAGTGCTTGACTCTTCAATGAAAGGATAAATGTTGACTTTATCCTGTTTCAAACAATATATGATTTTGGGGGGTCTTAGGGGGGGAAGAAAAGTGATTCTGTGCTTTTTCTTCTAGAGTGGATGTTCACTGAGTCATGGGTTATAATGTGTTGGCTCCACACTTGCTCTGGAGGCCTGCGTTTATAACAGTGGTGATGATGGGGATGCGTTGCATTCTTGTCACATGACTCAGCTCACCTTCCATTTCCACAAGGTAGTCTATGCCATTTCTCATTTAGTCATGATGATTATTTTCTCTGTCTACTTTCAGAATTATCAGAAAAGTTTAAATGATCTCAATAAAGTTCTCCTATTAGACCCAAGTATTGTTGAGGCAAAGATGGAACTGGAAGAGGTAACCAGATGCCTTAATATTAAGGGCAACACAGCATCATTCAACAAAGAAAAGGAGAGAAGGAAAATTGACATTGAGGAGGTATTTGTATTTGATTACCTTTGAAAGTACACTTTTCGGCTATCTTACACTAGATTCTAAGATCACAATCTTGTGAGTTCTACAAAAAAATTTTAACTTTGTGTTTTCATTCCGATGATGAATGAAAAAGTTGTGACCAATTATAAAGACAAAACTTCCCTCGTCAGTGATAATTCTCATTGCCTTCAAGTCGGAGCCAACTCATAGTGACCCCTCCTTGGGTTTCCGAGGCAGAATCACTATGGAAGTAGATTGTCTAAACTTCTTTCTGAGGAGTGGCTCGTGGGTTTGAACTGCCAGCCTTATGGTTAGCAGTCACATGCCATAGACATTACGCCACCAGAGCTCTCTTCATTGATAATTAGCCAATGTATTTCTCAGCTTGGGCCCACGCCTGGTATTTGGAGTTTCCACATTACTGAAATTCTTCCTGTCTGTGCCATACCCTCCCCACCCACCATCTTGCCTGTGACTGTTGCTTCTACTCCAGATTGATGTGCAAGCCTGTGGCCCATGAGCTTTGCTTCAGGGTTGACCTTGAGAATCTGGTCTTTTTCAGTGGCCTTGCCAGCCATAATCCCATGGACATTTTCCAGATCACCTCAGAGCTTTTTCGCGTTCTGAAATAGTGGGCTCATCAGAGACTGTGGTCTGTCTCAGAAACAAACCTATTTATGTGATTTCAGATAACTCGTATGTCTCATGCTGTAGCTGTTTACTTTGCTGTTACTTTAGAATGAGAACTCATGAATTCATGAATGCCAGTATCATCCCATTTAAAGCTTGACATTTCCACTAAGAATATGAGGCTATATGTCAAGAGATTCACTAGAGAGTGTTTTCTCTCTGAGCAGGGAGGGAGAAAACTGTTCTAACTGGGAAATATAAACCCCCCTTCTCTGCTGAATGTGAAGAAATCAGTAAATGTAAAATGGATCATGAAAAGGATAGTTGTATAGATCTTTTTTATTTCATACAATAGCTTTATTCATGGAAAATTATAAAAGTAAAATTTTATTGTCATATTTTTAATATCTAATTTTTTTAAAAAAAGAGCACATTTTTAAATTAGATTCTTATACTATACCCTAACATTTATGTAAAAATTATAGAGTTCATGATTTATTACAAATTGTAGATTTTCTGCTAAGAACTTGGCCAAAATATGATATATCTTGTGTATTAAATTTCCCTTTTGAGGAATGTGACTTGCGGTGTGGTGGTGAATGTTGCTCGGTGTCACTGTGTGATGTTTTTCCCATGAAGGTGAGTGAAGGCAGTGCAGAGGTGACTGGAATAACCTCGCCCAAGGTCTCCATTGACTGCCTCGCTTCTGAAAAGGGAAATGGAAGCAGTGGGCCACCAGAACCCTGTGAAAAACTACACATCTGCAAGCCTAATAATGCCTATGAATTTGGTCAAGTTATAAACGCTATAAATAGTAGGAATGATAAAGAAGCTTGTGCAGAGCTTTTAGCCGTCACTGAACCGAAAGATTTGCCAGCATTGTTGAGTAACAAACTCGAAGGGGACACATTCCTCCTCCTCATTCAGTCTCTGAAACATTGTCTTACTGATAAAGATCCCTCATTGGTCTATCAGCATCTTTTATATCTGAGTAAAGCAGAAAGGTTTAAGGTAAGTGGCAAAGTATTTTATTAATAGGGATTGATTGATTTTTTTTTTTTAGGATGCTGTAACTTTAAAATGTTAATTATTTATGCTAATATAAATTTTCTCCTTCTTTTAGATGATGTTGACATTAATTAGCAAGGGCCAAAAGGAACAAATTGAACAGCTATTTGATGACCTTTTAAACACATCAAGTAACCAGTTTACTTTAGAAGATTTGCAGGCCCTGAGAAGGCAGTATGAGCTTTAAATCAACATTTCTATTAGATTTTTTCCATGCGTGCATGTGTTCCACGGATGCTTGGAGAGGGGTTTATAATAAATTACATGGATAAAGTCTGACTTAAAAGAGATCCCTTGTCTGGACTGTAAAATATTATACTTATTTTTATACACAGATGATGTATATTCTATGATCTGCTTTTTATTAGTTGTAAATATTTTATTATGTACCAGAGAGCTAACATCTTTATATTTAATAATAAGTATATTTGGAACTTGTTCAAAATTCATTTTAAGTTATAGTATACATTTTATTTTAATAACTTGTTAAAAATTTTAGTTAAATTGCATTTCTCTGGCTATGAAGGTGTCCTCTTCAGTTTGATAGAAATGTATTTGAAGTTAATTTTTAAAAATGAAAGCTATTATTACATTACCTTTATTTCCTGCTAAGGTACACAAATAAATGCCATTTTATACTGCTTATGGATTATAATCAATTAAGGTGAAATCCAAACTTAAATTCATAATATGATAGGATTATTAAATAATTGTATATTTTAATTTAGAGCTATAAGAGGAATTTATTATTTTCTAATACAAAAACATTGCCTTATAATTATTAAGACCAAAATTTGCCACAAATTTCTAACACTTTTTATTAGATTGTAAAAAGCTGCTTTTTCTTTTATATTGCTTATATAAGTAATACAAAGCAACTAATTTATAAAAGCAAACCAAGCCTGTGTTTCTGTTTGAATCGTCATTCCCTTCTTTTCCCCAAACGTTTAAATGTATCCCTACCCCATTTTTGTTCTGTTTTACATATAACCATATTTATTCCCTAGTGTACAAGGGGCTGGGAAGAACTCTTACGCAGTAAAGCTCCGCCCAATTGTTAACTGGGTCAGAGGAAAGGTATTTCTTGTAATAAAGCATTCCGATCTCTATCAGTAGACTCATTTCTTCCTGTAGTCTGTGGTCAGTTTCCTTTTCCTGGAAAATTTTCCTGTTCATTTTCTTATGAAGATGAAAGATAAATATCACTTTCATTATTCCCATATTTCTTTTATAATTACATGCTATATAAATAGTCACCTTGGGTAAATGGTAACTTTCAAACTATGTCATTTTTTTTTTGTTCATCCATGAAAATTTACTGTAATAGGTACTTAACTCCAACCTTAAACAAAGCATGTTTTCCCTTTTTAATACTACTAGATTTTTGTAATAGTTAATGATGGATGGTGTTAAAGTCGCATCTTGTGTATGGAATTTACTTATGGAAATGGGACCTTTCTTTTCCTCTACAAAGCAACCTGAGATTTAGAGTTAACTCTATGGTAAATAATGAGCCCTGCTTGCGCAGCGGTTACATGCTCAGGTGCTAACCTCAAGTTTCGTAATTTGAACCATAAAGATGATTGTCGTTAGATGCCATCAAATTGGCACAAACAGAACGAAACACTGCCTGGTCCTGCACCATCCTCACAACCATTGCTGTGCTTGAGTCCCTTGTTGTAGCCGTTGCGTCAAGTGGTGGGTCAGCGGGAAAAAAGGAGGAAGCCTTCAGTGAACTGAATGGACACATTGGCTGTGAGGATTACAGCCTTGGAAACTGTGGGGCAATTCTACTCTGCCCTACATGGTCGCTATGAGTCAGAATGGATGGCAGTGGGTTTGGTTATAGTAAGGACATACTGAATAGGAAACTTTCTTTTCTGTTGACATTTACAAAGCTAGCATCTAGCACGATGCCTACGATAGTAATGTTAGTATTTATAACTGATGGTTTCTCATCTTTAGTCTGTGCCAGGCCCTGGGCATAAAGCTTAGCCTGCATTATCTAATTTAATCCTCAGCAGTTCTGTTACAGATGAGGAAATGATAGTACAGAGAAGATTGTGTAGATTAACAGGGGTCACAAAAGTGATAGGTCCAGGATTGTTTTTTGAGCTCATGAACACTGTACTGTGTAATGGAAAATATTTATTAAATATATGAATGGAATGATGGCTAAAATGCCTGGCCTTTAAGAGTTTCAGCTTGGGAGAAGCACTCACTGCCATCAAGTCGATTCCGACTCATAGTGATCCCCATTGGGTTTCCAAGGTGGTAAATCTTTACGGAAGATTGTCCAGTCTTCCTTCCATAGAGTGGCTGGTGGGTTTGAACTTCCATCCTTCTGGTTAACAGTCAGATGCCTTGGGCACTATGCAACCAGAGCTCCTGTGAGCCACAGGATACGTGAATGACTGATTTTGGTAAACTAATCGAGGTATCTGTAGTGGTGACACAGAGCACGAGGAGCGCTCAGTCCTGCGTGACAGGGTGGTGAAAGGCTTCAAGGAGGCAGTGATCTAGCGGCTTGAGTGTGTCATACGACACGGATGTGCCAGGCAGAGGGAGCAGAGAGGCAAAGGCATCAAGGTGCTTAATAGCGTGAATGGAAATCGTGAAACAGCTTGGTATGTTCAGGGAACTGTATGTAAGTTTAATATTAATGGAGCATAAGGTTTGTGTGACTAGAGAGCTGTATGCTGCATATAAGATGGCAGAAGTCTCAGAATTTTAAATAGACAGGTGGTTCCTTAGTGGATTGGGCATTGCTACTCTTAGCCAGCCTGAGTTTCTTCCTCACATGGGCATACACAGCACTACTCCTCATAGCGTCTTGTGATTGGTTGTACTGTGTGACCAGTTCTGGCAGTAGAGTGTGTCACTTCCTGGGCCAGAGTATACAAGACCTGGCACGGAGCTCCCCAGCTGACTTTCTCCTTGCTACAGTGCCCTTGAGAAGGGCTCACGTTGCAGACAGTGCAGTTGCAGGACAATGGTCTCTCCCAGCTTGGTTTGAAGCAGAGTCCTACCAGCCTACATTGGACATACATCAGGAGTAAGATACAAACTTTGTGTGAAGCCACTGAGGTTTGAGTTGTTTGTAACCAAAACAAAACGTGGCCTATCCTAATACACTGTGGTGTTTTGCTTTAATTCTGTGCTAATTGCAGAGCCCCTGAGCATTTTTGAGCTTCATTTGGATTTCATACTTCGGAGGAAGACTAAAGAAAAACTCTAGCATATACACTGGTAATGAATTTATTTCCTTCCTATATTACAAAGTCTTAGAATGAGAAGTTCACTAATAGTTGGATCATCTCATCTGTAACTTTCCCAGGATGGTTATTCCTGAGATTTTAGAAAAGCTCTCGGCACCTCTGTGAAATCCTGTCCGCTTTGTTGGACTCGGTGGTCCCTTCTGCCAGCCGCTTCCCGTGTCTCTCCCTTGCGCTCCCCAGGAGGCTGTCCCCGCTTTTCTGCTGCATCTACTTTGTGCTTTCTGCTTCGCTTGTTAGTGCTCTGCACCCTTCATGCTGCTCTCTCTTCCTGTTGTCCCTTGTTCCTGTCCGTCCTTCACGCTTCACTGTCATCTCCAGCAGCCTGAGCTAAGGGCCCCTTAGTTGTATTATTATTGTTACTATGCTTTTCATATTACATAGAAATTACGTTTGTTGGTCTGTCTGCTCTTCTAGGTGAAAATCTTTAAAACCCTGGAGTCTGGTTTGTAACTCAGTTCAACTCAGTAGTAGCAACTGCAGAGGCCAGACAATAACTGATGTCCCAGTGTTAGGAGATGTGGATTCAAGTTCTGTACACAGTGGGCTTTTATACTGCCCATGAACCACAGTAGTAATAATAATTCCTTCCTCTATACAGCTTAGAAAGACTGAACCCCTCAGAGTCTCTTGTTTCCATGTCATCACTTCTGTCTTCAGCCCTGAAATCTTTCCTAAGCTCTAGTCCTGTAAAACCAACTTCAAAGAGTTTCTTTTCACATGATGTCTCAGACACTTCAAATATAATATGCCTCCATTGAAATCTTTATTCTTCTAAATTCACGCTTCATTTATTTCATATCTCACTGAAAGGAACTAGCATTCACACACTGGCCTAAGCCAGAAACCTGGGATTCTGGCTAGACTTTCCTCACTTTGTCAAACTCCACAGCTGGTGTATCCAGGCAAACTGTTTAATTACCCAAATATGGTGCACTCACCCAAGATTCTCTGCTTATGCACGGGCTGCTCCAAATGCTCGTCTGTCTCCCCCTTTCCACCTACAAAAAACACAAAACTCCTTACTCATCCTTCAAAACCCGGTTCAGGTGTCACCTTCTCTCAGAGGCTTTTTCTCACTTGCCCTGGCTGGTCAGGTGGTCTTGTCTTTGGATTCTTACAGTGCCCCGTGGATCACATGCACTGTCTTAGCCCTTAGCATGCTGCTTGGTATTTTTTGCATTTACGTGTCTGTGATGGAAGAGGTGTAATTCAGTTGTTCCCCCTCATTGCTCAGCAAAATGCCTGGTACACTAGAGACTCAGTGACTCTTCACTGAACGAATGGAAGCATTAATAACTTTATAGTCTTATTTTTGGGTGTATGCATATTAAAGTATTTCACCGGAGTGTTAGCATTTGTTACATCTACTTGACTGCTGTGAACCGTGCATCTGGAAGAGCCTCAGAGTAATTCTAGACGGAGTGAGGGTTATTTATCATCAAAACTCAACTCATCTTCAGAGACTGTGTATGCAGAGGTTTAAGACACAAGTGGAAGACCAAGTATTAGAAAAGGAAGGAAGGAAGCAAAGGTTCTTGAATTAAGACGATACATGATAGGTACTTACTAGGTACATAAACTCTGAGAAATCAGTCACTCTAGGCATAACTTCCCTTATTGGTAAAATGTTATCTGGGCTGACATTTTGTGTTGTAAAGTTCATATGGAAATGTTTTCTAAGTGGTATACAATATAAAAGGCTATTAATGCTATTGCTGGTTCATGGACAGTACAAAAGCCTTCTTGTGTATAGAATTTGAATCTGAGGTCCACATCTCCTAACTTATTGTGTGCCGTTGCTTGAACAATTTCTCTTAGAAAGATCAGCATGAGGCTGGTCCCCGTGAGGCGGAGGTTAAAGATGTCCCATATGTCCAAACTACCATGCCACTCCATCATTTCAGACATT